AGCTGCAGTTTGTTAAGTAATTTTCAGATTACAAAGGGCCGGGCCTTTCATATGCAAAAGCCTCCGTGCACGGCTTGGGCGGGGCAGGGTCCCAGGGGATCAACAGGGCTGGCGGATCAAGCAGTATGGCTGCTCTCAGTCCTGCCTTCAGAGGCCCCGGCAAAAGCTGCGTGTGCCTCCGAGAGAAAGCTGCCCTCGAGTTCTGACCGATGCCAGACAGCCCCGTTTCTCCCGTATGAGTCTGGGTCCCCAGAGACTCGCCCAGAACTGGAGCTCAGAGCCTGAGACTCCCTCCCGATTGAAAAAGACAATCGTGTCCTCAGCCGCCAGCCCTCTCCGCATGCACCTCCGCACCTTTGTATTTTACTTCTGCACCGCACCTCCTCTGAGTCTCGGTATGCTTTTCTCTTTCCTTCTAGTTGTAGAATTTCCACTCAGCCAGCCTTCCTGTGGTTCTGGGTGATGTTCGTTCCATCTTTTAGTTGTATTTTTGAAGTGGTTGTGCGAGGCAGCAATCTCCAGTGTTTACCTATGCCGCCATCTTGGTTTTTCGCATTTTCTGTATTTTTATAATTACTTCTGAGAAGGTTCTGTGAGTTACTACCAGTGTCTATGATATTTTCTGGTTTCAACATCATCCCACCACCTGTAGAAGTTATCTTCGTCTGGTGAAGACTCTGGAGCCAAACTGCTTAGGTTTGCATTTTAGTCCTGTCAGTGTTACCGACTGGGGTCACTGGTTGGGACCTTGGTTCTTTTCATCGATGCAGAAAGGATTTTAAGGTCAATGAAAAGAAAAGTAAAGCAAAATGGGGTTTGTTTGTTTGTTTATTTATTTATTTATTTATTTATTTATGTTTAAATTTAGGCTTGCACTGTCAGTTTTAATTGAAAATATTAAAACAGCTTAACTAATAATGAATTATAAAACTTTGATAATTAAGTGTTACGGCCATTTATGAGGCATCTATTCATTATTTTTGTAGGCCTGAAAGAAACTTTGCATACTTGTATTCTCCATTCTCCATTTCCGAGAAAGATTATGAAGAGGTGTAAAGCAAACAAAATCTGTAAACAGCTGTACTGTAAGAGCATAGGTGGTTTTAGCTCATGTTTTGGGTGTGAAATTTAACTCATTTCACGGGATACAAAAGCAGGTGCAATAGTAAAGCTGAATCATGAAAACCCCCATCAATTACAAGTGGGGCTTATTGAACATACATTCCAAGCAAGGAGCAGGTGGGGGAGAGAGAGAGAGAGAGAGAGAGAGAGAGAGAGAGAGGCGAGCGCACATGGCCCTCAACTCCTGGGATTTAAAGAGGGATTTTCTGTGTGGAGGACTTTGACTTGCATTCAGGGATGATTGACAAAAACTATATTTTTTCTGGGCATGCCCTTACCCATAATGTATACAGAAAAGCCCACAGGAGGTGGGGTCAAAACTGAAATGCAAATTTTATTATAATTAGTTTAGGGCCCTAGTAAGGTCACATTGGCATTGAGGTCATATCTTCTTCCTCTGAGCTTGCACTAAGAACCGCCTGTCTCTGAACCTGCCCGCTGGTGGTCTGATGGCAATGTTGGTCTGGTCTCTGTTCAGGACCCCAGGGCAGACCCCATGTCTTATGTCTCACTTCCTGCCTGACACCACCATACCACCTGTGTGACCTTGGGGCAGTTACTTAACCTCTCTGTGCCTCCATTTCCTTATCTATTAACCCTTTGAGTACCAACCAATATCCTAGGAACTATGCTAAAATTGCCAAGGAATTTTTGCTGATTTTACAGCAGTAAACTTCATAAAATCGTAGTACCTGTAAAAAATTAGGCAGATAAATGCCAGTGGTCAATTTTAGAACTACAAACATTCAGCATCATAAGTAATCTGCACTTAGGTGCCATCTGTCAATAAAGAGTGAACTACTAGCATCTAATAGTGACACTGCAGGAGGAGCGCGATAGCGCTCCCGGCACTTTTGGTGAAAGACAGGAGGAGCGCAATCGCGCTCCCCGGTACTCTAGGCGTTAAATGGGGATAATAAATGCAATTACTCCATAGATCAGCGGTTCTCAACCTGTGGGTCGCAACCCCTTTGGGGGTCGAATGACCCTTTCACAGGGGTCGCCTAAGACCATCGGAAAACACATATATAATTACATATTGTTTTGTGATTAATCACTATGCTTTAATTATGTTCCATTTGTAACAATGAAATTGGGGGTTACCACAACATGAGGAACTGTATTAAAGGGTCGCGGCATTAGGAAGGTTGAGAACCACTGCCATAGATGGTTGTGCCAATCCTCATGGCTCACAGTACTCCATGTTTATGAATTCATCTGCTCGCTAGAATTTATTTGCAACTCCAAAATCAATACTTTCAGTGCTTTTACAGTAATTCAAAGACATTTGCAGAGTGGCAGAAAATTTTAGTTGCACATTGTCAGCTGAGGGGTAGAAGAAGGCGACCCTGCCTTCTGTGTCGGCTCTCACACTGTGAACAGGGTCCTCTCCGCGGTATACTTAGGGCTGCGCTTTCCACATGCGTGTGCTTTTTGTTGGTGATCCCGCTGCTTAAACGGGCCTCAGGCATAGCGCTGAAGTGCTCTCTAGTGTTGTTAAGTATGAAAGGCTGATGTTTCTTTCAGAGAAAATACGTTAGGTAAGCTTCATCCAGGCATGAGTGTGAGTGCTGCTTGCCATGAGTTCAATGTTAATCAGTCGACTCTGTATTAAATAAGGAGCCTTCCTACAGAAACACCCATACAGCAAGGTTATGTATTGCTCAGTGGTAAAAACACTGACCAGCGGCTCGCAGGAACCAAACCTGGGTCTCCCCTAGGAGCTATGTTCACTGTTTGCTAATTCAGGGTTTGCAGCAACTTTATAGAATGTAACTACCAAGAATATTGCGACTCAACTGTTGGTATAAAGCAGTGGTTCTCAACCGTCCTAATGCCGCGACCCTTTCATACAGTTCCTCATGTTGTGGTGACCCCCAATTTCATTGTTACAAATGGAACATAATTAAAACATAGTGATTAATCACAAAAACAATATGTAATTATATATGTGTTTTCCGATGGTCTTAGGCGACCCCTGTGAAAGGGTCATTCGACCCCCAAAGGTGTTGCGACCCACAGGTTGAGAACCACTGGTATAAAGTGTTTAGAACAGAGTTTGGCATATGGTACATCCCTATATGCGATTACTATTGTTTTCTAAAATTTACATTTTGCTAGTTTGGGAGGAACTTATTTAGTCACCTGCTGCCATGTTGGTTGGTTGTATTTCCTCTTGTGCGGATGTCTAGTTGATAGGGGTGCATGAGGGGGTTTGTCATGAGACTGAAGGGTTTAGCGTCAGGTGGGAGCAGCTCTGGAGGGGCCGAAGAGGACATGCACACCATCTGTGGCGCATGAGTGGGGAAAGGACCAGGCCTGAGGCGTGAGCTGGCCTTTAGAGAAAGCTGAATCAAAATGTGAACTGGAGACCCACCCGGCCATGCTCAGGCCAAGAGCCTTTTAGCCTATGAGTGTGATAATCACATCATTAATCTTGAACAAAAGCCCACATTGATATATTTTTATCTGCATTAGAATATAAAATGATGACAGTTGACATATCAGGCGAGTGGCTGAGAGGACATTTATTTACTGAAGCAAAAAACCAGCTTGCCTGGTCAGCCGAGGGGTTTGTGACTTGGTGTGTTCTGTGAAATTTCTCACAAAGGCTCAGACCCGAATCCACGTTTGCTTACACACTGAACCGAGGGCCGCTGGCCCCACAAGAGGAAACGCATGGCATTGGGATGGTCCCTGGGAGTCCGGGCTGTGTGGTAGCAGTGCGCACGTGTGCCCGCTTTCTGTCTCAGCCACTGTGGGGCAAGGATGTGCTCCCTGGCTTGTTGCTAACGTGGGCACATTTGAGCCTCAGAATGAAATCAGAGGCATCCCTGCAGGGCGGGAAACAGTCTTTCTCCTGCTTCCCCCTGGGTGTAATGGGCTTCCTCCAGGCTGTTTGTCTTCGAACAGCTGGGGACCCACCCCTAGCCTCTGATGATCAGAACAGCAGTTCAGTTTCCACATGGGGGTGGGGGTGGCCCAGATCCTGTAAGAGGATCAGGTGATCCTTTCTCTTCCAGGATATTAAAGCATTTGAAAGCCAAGGACCCCGTGCAGCTGAGACTGGAGCACTTGGAGCAGGGCTTCTCTGTCTACGTCAACGGGGCCAATTCGGAGCTGAAGGCGTCGCCACGGAGAGCCGTCCACTCCCACGTCTCCAGAAGTGCCTCGCAGGCCGAGGGGGCACAGGGTGAGCCCAGGCCCATGGTCCAACCAACAGTTCCGTTAACTCATTAGAAGCAGTGGAGCTGCATCTTATGCACATAAACTTACCAGCAAACAACTAGTTAACCTATACAAGTCAACTATACCCATTTGGCCAGAAGGAGAGAGCATGAGAGTGAGAGAGAAATCCTTTTCTATTCCTTTTAAAACTAGTCTTGGCCTCCACTGCCCCAGGGCAAAGGTGGCCAGAGCAGTCGATTCCTGCTTTTACACTTCCCAGTTCTCAAGTGCCTATAATTTAAAGAAATGCCTAAGAGAATGTTGATTATACCTGATTTTCACTCGAAGTGTCTTGCACCCAACCCCTGTTTTGATTCCACTGTTCATTTTTGAATATAGTTACTCCATACTCTGCACACTTTGAGCAGCTTCATGTGTCCTCTAGTAAAAGCACAGGAAGTCTGTGAAGTAGAATAGAAAGCAGCCAACCCAGTGGCCGGGCCCAACATGGGCACCAAAAATGACTCAGTGGTTGAATGAGTGAAGTGGCAGAGCACATGGAGGCAGGTCCCACTTGGCCATGCTTCTTTGGGAGAGCCATTTTGTCTTTCTTCTTCATCTTAAAAATCGGACTAACAGGGGTGCCTGACCTTAGGGTGCCAGGGTGCCCTTCAAAGCTGCCTTGCCTGGGAGGCTAGTGTAGTATCGAGTTACACTAGATAGTACAGAGAGGAGCTGGAATGAGGCAGAGCTGGGTTTGAACCGTGTTCTGCCACTTTCTAGCTCTGAGACCTCTGCAATTGGGTCCTCTCTGACCCTCAGTTTCCTCTTCTGTAAAATGGGAATCGTTATGCCCACCTTACAGGCTTGCCAGGAAGGTTAAATGGCAGAAGGAATGTTTCTGGCACACAGTAATCTTGGTTTGTGTTGTTACCACAGGCACGGTAAAATCCCAGGCCATTAATAGACAGTGAAAGTGATGTCCTGAAAGCTTCCCGAGGAGAGTTACTGCAGTTCATTTTGGGGTTTAGCATGAGCTTCCTAGCCCCCAGGGCAAAGAGGAAAATGGGGTGACTCTCCTAGCTTTCAGGGCCAAGGAACCTGGCGACTGCTGCTACTTGGGAGAAGCAGGCCTCTCTGAGTCCAGGTTCAGGGAGGGCAGGTAACAGGAGTCTCTGTTCTGGGGCCGCCGGCAGTACCTTCACTCATTCAACACACTTCTCCCCCCTCCACCCCACTCTTTACACAAATGCTGGCCTATTGTGCACACTGTCCTGTATCCTGCTTCTATCCCTGGAGAGTGTTCCTTTTGTATATAGACCTGCTCCATTGGGCTGTACATTATTATACATCCTAGAGGCCCAATACACGCAATTTGTGCAAGGGCCTTGGCCCCAGCCTCGCCCGCCATGGCTTTGTCTGGAAGGAAGGACATCCCGAAGGATGTCCAGTCTAATTAGCATATTACACTTTTATTATTATAGATTACTATTCCATTTTTGCTGGGCATTTAGCTTTTCTAATGCTGTGCTGCTACAAATGGTGCTACAGCGAATAACTTCACATACAGGATTGTGGGCACACTGACGTGTACTTAATGTAAGTTACGAAACTGACATCACTGTGAACTTGCCACCTGTGCCTCACCGATTCTCCTCCCTCATCTCTGGTGTAGATTATGGACGAAGAACCCTGTTTCGAGAAGCTGAAGAAGCTTTAAGACGCAATTCACGGACAGCCCCCAGCAAAGCCCAGCGCCGCGGATGGCACCAGGTCAAGAGCGTGGCCCCAGCTCGCACTTTAGAATAAGGAGTGGGGTTATTGAGGGAACAGAAACATAATCACGGTGGGGCGTTGAGAATCTCGGTGGGCAGTGGGTGGGCTGGCTGGGCACTCACAGCAGCGTTGCCCTCTCTGCATGTGGCACTGGCCTCTGGAGGGGAGAGGGTCCAGTGTTCTTGCCCATATAGTCCTTATACCTTACCTTGCAGTTACTCACACCTGACAAGGAACCTGTTTGTCACAACCCCCACTGCACGTTCACATCGCCTGGGAGTTTTTAAAATACTGATGCTCAGGCTCCACCCCCAGAGATTCTGACTCATTTGATCCGAGGCGAGGCTTGAGCAATGGTGTGTATATACGTTTTAATCCTCTGCTCACTGAGATTGGGAAGTACTGCTTATAATATTTTGCATTGTACTATATGTATGGATCTACGAGTAAATTCATATACTTTATCGGCCCATCTCTGCAATAACCCTGTAGATCTATAAGTCCTAATTGTGCCACTGAAGAAATTGAGGCCCAGAGCGGTAAGGTGACTTGCTCAGAGTCACACAGCTACTAAGGGAGGAGGGTGGGCTGAGGTTTCAACCCTGGATCTGTTACTCCAAATCCAGTGGCCCTCCGCTTCTCTGCAGAGACATTGGTGGGGCTCTGACTAAATGGGGGAGGGGGTTCCTGCTAGCCAGCTCCAGTGCCAGGGAGCAGGGCCTGCAGGGCGTGGAGCTGGAGGCCTCCTTTGTTCCGAGCAATGAATGCTACTTTCTCATTAATGAGGTCTTTCTCCACTTCCCACTTCAGACCATCCTTCTAGTTGTTCTGAGAGCCTTCTATTATCAGGAGCCATATTTGCATCCTGTCTGTGACTTAATGGCTGCCCCAGAATCTGTGCAATTGAAAAGACTTGGCCTAGGATTAATTAGCATCCCTCCCAGTCTCTCCCTGTGGTCCCACACTTCACAGGGCCTAATCATGGCTAATTTCCTGGCTTCCTGATGCCATGAACACTGTAATTGTCCTTCTGCACCGTATCAGTGAGGGGTCAGCCAGTGCCTAACAATAGAGACCACTCAGGCTCTTTTAATCAGAAATGAATGTGATGCAGGGAATCAAGTGCTTGCAAAATCCCTGGGCCGGCAGAGGATGGGCTCTGAGCTGGGCCTCCAGGAATGGCACTCAGCATCTCAGCCGGATCTGCCAGAAAAGCTGCTGCCTGGGACACAGTAGGGAAGGGGTGGGGTCAGCATCCGGAATGTGTCACCTTAGCTGTGACCCAGGAATGAAGAAGCCACCGCCGCTGGCCTCAGAGTGAGGCTGTGCTTGCTAGGGCAACACGGTGAAGAGACGCCCTGTGGAGCCAGGGTGGGATGTTGCTGAAAAGCCCGTCGCCTCTGTCACTGCTCCATCCCTCCACCACTGTGCTGGGCACAGACAGCCTCCCCTAGCTTCTGCTTTCCCTGCCGGTGTGAGGCCGTCTGATGGGCTCACCTGAGGCTCGTCCAGAACCCCAGCTGAAGGGAGTCTGGTGAGGCGCAGTGTCTAGCTTTCCGCCTCTACTGAACAGGAAGGCATCTTAGGAGAGAGTGGAATGGGTACCAGGGTCAAAACGCTCCCCCCCCCC